GGACTTGGCCTAGGCCCCACAACGGCCAACAACGGGCTGGAAGGGCCGCTGCCTCTCCGCCTATCAGTGCATGAAGAAGTGGGCGCAGGCAAAACACCGCCTGAGTGAAACCTTCTCAAAGCCGTGAAGTGCGAAAAGCCATACGGAGTAAACAGAGTAAGTATGCACAGTGCATGACCCAAAATTTTAAACATTTCCATTTAAGCATTTCCCGTTAAGCATTCATCCATGGAAGATGCAACTTCCTGGAAAGATGTTTTTCAACCACTCAACCACTAAACCGCGAGTGAGATGGAAGAATCGAATCGTCTCTGCGGATCTATTCTGGTGCTGAACCGAGCCAATCATCACGCGTCATTGCATCACTGGATGTTGAAAAGGGCCCACTCGAGACCCGACGAGAAGGATCAGCCTTTTTGCCCAGGCCCAGGTACCCCCCTCCATTCTGTCTTTCCCGCGGACATTTCACGTCGTGAAGATGGATCTGAGGGATCGAAACGGAGCGATGCTTTGGCCATCGTGTGCAGACTCGATGCCAGAGCCATCTCTGAGCATTCAGATTCGCCTGGCAGCGTGATCGATGGCGGGGAATATCAACAGCCTTGGAAGTCTAAAACACACAAACTCGCTGGGAGAACGAAAGCGAAGCTGCTTCCCACAAGGGGGATCCCGGCAACTCCCCGGCTTCCCCCTTGGCTTCCCCCGGAGGACGGGACGGGAGAAGGAAAGAAGCTGAATGTTCGACAGACAATTGACGACGACAACAACAAAACCACCACAAGTCCACTCTCGCACATTTTCCACCAGCCGTGCCTGCGGCTCTGAACTCTGCCATTACCCTTGTCTCCATCGTCAGTTTGCTTGCTCAGCGTCCTGAAGAAGCAAAGGGGCTTATCGATCGCCAGAGGCGGGGCGCAACCTCAGCCAGACAACATGTCGACAGAACCCTCCCTCATGTCTCAGCTTCAGCTCCAGGAAGTCAAACGCACTTCGACTCGTAGATGCCGCTGGAAATTGTATCGCTGCTGCTGTTCGTGACGGAGAGTACTCCAGAGTACGGGCTCGAGGACGGACTCGAGGACGGTGCGCGTTCACCTGCGTTTTCCACTTCTCGAGATGGATCGTCCGTGGAGATCGCTTGTGTCATACAGCCTGGCTGAAGGCCATGAAGGCATGGACAAGTCGAGTCAAGATCTCTCTCACAGAGAAGAGATACGGATCCATTTCCATGATGTGTGGCATATCACCCCACCCACCGCCCCCCCCGCTCGGCTCTTCCTCCAACCGGCATCCATCTGAGGAAAGCGAAACAGGCTTTTTTTTTTTTTTTTTTTTTTTTTTTTTTTTTTTTTTTTATTCTGTTCCGGTGGGTTTTATTTTCAAAAACAAGTCGGTGAAGTGACCGCTCTTCCTTTCTTGGAAGAGAAATATGTATTTTTTCAATTTCTAATTGCAGCATGTGTGCTGTTCCGAAGGGACCCCTCCAGGCTCCTATGTTAGGGACTTCTGCTTCTGATAACGGAAGAAAATGAAGATATTGGCAGGTGACATCCACAGCTGCCTGATCCTTCAAGCAAACTCGGCTGGGATTCGAGGGAAGGGGAGAAGAAAGATGACAACTGGGATCATATTTTCCAGCTTGTGATTTCACAATTCCTTCCCCACGTCATCCAGAAGACTGCTCAAAAATCAAAAACCCCGTCGGCCAATTCATCACTCAATACAGACCTCCCTGGATACCCTCTCCTCCAGGGGCCCTGGATCTGGATGCTTGCACCCGAATCCACCAAGGTCTTTGAGAGTTGTGCTCTTACTGTACATACTTACAGCAGGGATCTTTCGCCTTCCCACCATAATCCGTGTTACCAGCTACGATCGCGAGTATTGCCAGGGCAACGAGCGGCTGCACAAGATCTCGTCAATCCGAGATTCGAATTTCTATTCGTATTTATTCCCCAGCATGTGATGTGCAGCTGTTTGTTTTTATAACACGAGGTTATTCTTAATTTACTATATGACGTCAAACTTGAGGATTTCTCTCATTGCTTGGCAGGGACATCGCAGGAATACTATCTTCTAAGTTGTCGTGCTTTTGTTTTTTTTAACTGTGCTGATGGATAAAACCTGGGGGTGATGCTCTATACATACTAGTCTCTATCTGGATCTAACCCTATGATGTTCCTGGAAGTAGCGTTTGAAGAGTAATCTGCGCATCGCCTGTCGAGCGCTGGTGTGGGCTTGGGTTGGAGATAACAAGGGTGAGAAACCAAGGCTCCGGGAAGGTGTATAGTATAACATCGATATTTCAAGCGGAGTTTGCCATTTTGCTTCTTTGCTGCAATCTGTGTGTTGTGGCTAGATTATTTACTAGTATACATACAGTACATACATACCTGAGTGGCCAAATGGGCTGATGCAACAATATAAAAGACATCCTCGACACAAGAACCACCAAGATCGGCGCATTCTTGAAACAAGCATCTTACCTTACTCCTTACCCATTCTCCTATCATGCAAACCAACCACTTCTCACTGTGAGTTGGATCACAAGAAGCAGCCAAATCATTGAATACGGCGGGCCGGGCTTGTGTGCAAAGGAACCCACCCAGCTGGTTTGCAATAATACATCTAACTATCCTATCAAATTCCATTTATGATCTATTTCATATTTTCTTTCTCTCTTTCTCTCTTTCTCTCATTCTCTCTCTCTCTCTCTCTCTCTCTCTTTCTTTCTTTCTCTTTCACAATGGTCCGGAATCCCGGGCTAAGTACGGAGTAAAATGAAACAAAGCGACTGCAGCAGAACAACAACCCCTATGTCTTCAAAGGGGATTTCCACCCACCCGGTTTCGGAATAGCCTTCTCTCCTCGTCTTTGTCTTTGTCCCGATACACAGGGTCTATTGACGGTCCCGCGGAAAACTCTGTTTCCCTGCCAATCAATATATGCGGGGTGGCTGGTCCCCGAAAGCCGAAAGCCGAAACGGCGGACGGCAATCAAGCTTTCAACGCCCGCTGACGCTGAGTTCCCCATGGATGGGCGCAGCGTGTATAAAATCGCGCCGTGGTCGTCTGTGTTGACTAAATGCGGGGGATAGGCTGCCCGGGGCGGATAAAATCCCATCCCAACGTACATACCAATGCTCCCACCCGCCCCGCTCCCGCCTCCTCCTCCTCCTCCCCCTCCTCTCCCGGCCCCTACTGCAGCGGCCCTTTTGCGCAACAAACATACATCAGCAAAAAGCTAGAACTGGTATCTCCGTACTGTGCATCGCATGGGGCAGATATGTGCATGTAGGCAAGGCCTGGCACACAGGGGACACACACACCGCCGAGTAGAACGATGACTTGGCCCCCATATCCTGCGGCGACAAAGCAAGGGAGGGCGCCTGCATCATTGCAAATGGTTAGGGGTTGGGTGTTTCTCCCGCCCAAGCACAAGCAACAGGCCTCTAATATCGCCGGATCACACACCCGTTCCGCTCTGTCGGGTACCTGAAGCCGGAGCGTCGGTCCCCAACCCAAAAATGCGTCTCCAACGGAACCATGGGTGCGCGCCAAAGGCTAATTTATTGGCGGGGAGAAGCGGATGGAACACCGGCAGGCCGTTTTCTTTGAGAGCAGGTTACTAGCTAGTTAGGCTGGTTAGTAGTAGTGATATCTTAAAGTTGCTTTGCTTCCGTGGATCTGATTGATTTTCAGTTCGCGGCGAATGGACCTCGCCGTTGCGGCCTCCTTTGGCGCGTTGTTGTCATAGGGGATATCCTCCTTGCTTCTTCTTTTCCGCGAGCTGTCGAGAGCGCGCTGTGCCCAGAGGAGGAGCACTAGTCAAGTTTCTCTCACATTTTCTCACAGCCCCATTTTTGCGTCGCGAAAAGAAAGAAAGAAAGAAAAATAAAATAAATGGCCATTTTGTGCTCGAGTCCCTTCTGGTCTAAATACCCCTCCCTACTTGCTCCTTATTAAGTGTGGTATCTTTTATGACGTGACCTACTTTGGTTGCACTAGTATTTTAGACGCCAGAGGCAAAAAAAAAAAAGACCCCAACTCGGACTTCAATGTGAAAAATAACCAGGAAGGCAGCGCGCGGGTTGTTCTAGCAGGCTTGATGAATTTGGCTTCTCTCGTTCTTTATACCTCCAAACGTGTTCCAGAGGATGATGTCCTTCCGGGGATGCCTAGAATTTTGATATCCGGATCAAACCCACTGCAACGTTCCAGAGGCAGCATGAGCATCATATCTACTGGTAAATAAATAGAGGGCAGAAACCGGACCCATTCTAGAATATGGTGTTTCGACCTTCCTTCTCTGCTGCTCTCAAACTCCATGTGGTTTGACGAGTATGATAGTATCCTCATCAAATTACAATGCAGGGCTTGTCCATTTCGCTTTTGTGATGAGAGCAATGCCTGTCCAAAGTGATCAAGCACCTCAATATGCTGCTTCGGGGAAAAAAACAAAAAACAAAAAACAAAACAAAAACAAAAAAAGAAAACTGTCAAGGTGAACTCAAGACTAGCAAGGTCTGTCTGTATAATTATAGGTCAAGCATTTGGCTTAGTTCCTTGGGTGAGCCCCCTCTGGCATTACAGGTCCTTTCTCAGGAGGAGGGAGATGGGATATAAGTTCCCTGACCCTTAAAAAGCCACTTGTCAAGACAGATTCATATATATACTTATAGAATATATTAAATCGTCATTCTATCAGCCATATACAGTAGTTGTATGAATGCAATTGACATGTAAAGGTACAGCTCAAAATCGCGGCTATTCGTCGGCAAACTGACTTGTGTCTTTGTCCGATAGCCAGGGAAATCCAACATCAAGCAGCACCCTTAGGGAATTCAGGGTCTTTTGCCAACTTCTGATGATTTATTTCCCCCTTTAATACTGCATTCCGGTTTAAATAGGAATTCTTAAGAATAAAGCAGATCAACAAAACAATAATAATAAATGTCCTCCAGTCACTCACCGCAGCAGCTAACGAGGGCTCTAACAACAATGCCCGGCCGCGACAACAAGGCCAACAGCAGTAGAGTGATTTGCGATAGCAATGCTGACGGAGCCATTACAATATCTGTGGCCGTACTCCCGTCAAACTAACCCGTTGCAACTATCACAATCTCACGGCGGCCGGCGAAGCTCAATGCGCTCAACAGCCGCATCCTTCCTCACAGCACTCCCAGCTTCAATCCACACACTCACCGCAACCCACCCCAACCTACTTGCCGTCACGCCCACCGGCGCAGGTCCTAAATTCTTTTCATAGGCGGTGCCGGCATCGCCGAGAGGACCGCCATCTCCCCAAGCCCCGCTGCGGCTAGGGCATTCATTTTCAAAGATCCATGCCGCCTGCAAGGGCATCCGTGACTGCCCTGTGCCCATCCTCTGGCGCATCAACGGGCTTGCGTTGGGCGCAGGCTTAGAGATCGTTGCATCGAGTGACATGCGCGTGGCGAGTAGTAATGCACGGCTGGGCATGTCTGAAACTCGTATGGGAGTGTCGAGTGTCGTGAAAACTGTGTTGCTTCCTGGGTTGATCGGCTGGGGTCGGACGAGGAGAATGCTATTGCCTGGGGAGATGATAGGTGCGCGGGAGGCGCTGGAATGGAGATTGCTGGAGGAGGTGGTAGAACGGGAAGGGCTGGACGATGCGGTGGCGGGGTGAGTCGAGAGTTTGGAGAGGACTGCATTGCGGCGGTGAGGAATCAGAAATAATTGATCGGGGAGTGGGAAGGAATGGGAGTGAATGAAGCTATTGAGGCGGGAATTGATCATTTTGGCTGTGCCTTCGAGCAGGATGGGAAGGGCGTTGGTGGGGTTGAGGGCTCGGAAACAGAGCCGGGGCGGATGATGGGTGAGTGTCTAAGGAGAAAAGGAGGAAATAATAAGCTATAATTGGAGAAGTGACATTGTATCAATAACAATGATAAAATACTTCACCTTTAATTCTTTTTCTGACCTTTTCAAGTCAATCCGTCATGGTTCGAGGACTATGCCGCCAATACACCTAAAAAGGCCTGGTGATGCATGATTGCCCTTTGCTTCAGAAAACGGTTTGCAATCGACTGGAAGTCAATTTGAATTAATTCTGGCAATGTTGCAATCCTCCCTCCCTTGGGCATCCAAACCGGGATTAACATTCCAATCGAGTACGAAATGGAAGTTTACATCTGTTGGGTAATCAATCCGTGACACCTTGTTGACATACATACATTTCAGGGCTCACCGAGGGAGTTTTTGCCCCTGTGAATATAGTTTGTTAGAGAACGGGGAGCAGGTATGTGATTCCATTAGAAAAAAAATGCAAACAAGGATGTGCTGAATTGGATTTCCTGTTGTTCTGATAGGGTTCTTGAAATGGGGCATAGATAAGAAGTATCTTTTTGCTTTCTTTTTTGCTGTGTGACAAACAGCGAGATGGGAAATGTTTTGGTTTGGTGTGGTGGTATGTCCGCCTTCGAGCAACCTGCTGTGCGTCATGGCTGCAGGGACTAGGCCGGAGGGCCGCTCAACTCGAATGAGTTCAAGGCCTGGGAGGTTTAGGAAATTCAGCCGGCCTAACGGTGCCGCTGCTTCTCAGAATGCTCTTTGAAAACTAAGAGGACGAAAAAACGGCGAATGAAAGAACATACACACGCGTTTCATTCCTAGTTTCAGGCTGATGTACATTTCGTAAACGTCTATCGAGCTCCTATCAAGCATTCAAAGGAGAACCGATTTTGTCCATAAACAAGGATGATGCTTATAGAGTTACCGAGGATCTCAAGAAGTTGTTTTATGAGCGGACATATGTGTCAGGGCCCCCTTTGGGCGTGCTTATTGCACGTCCTATGCGCAGCGAAAACTGTGGAAACGTTGTGCGCCTGTTCCTTTCTCCTTTTTCCCTTGTCCTTCTCTTTTGGATGCGTTGGTGTGACGCCTAGGAGGCCAGGAGATTCGGGACCAGAAAAGCCGGTAGCACCGCGGTGTTTGTTGGAACAAGCAAGACAAAGTGGGGGTATAATGGAGAGTCTTAATTTGTTTCTGGAAGGAGTTTGGTAGGGTCAGTTGAATTTTAATATCGTATGCTGTCTATATTTGAATGCCTTCAGATTGGTTGCGTTGCTCGAGGTGTTACGGTGCAAACATGACAGAAAAGATGGTCGGAAGAGAGCTGTGTAACTGCATTTCTGCTGCTTCGAATGACCTAACTTCTTGTAGTTCCCATATGCCAGCTTAATCCGAATGCTGGTTGAATGAATCAATACATCGGGCATCCGTGGCTTTTTGACACCAGGAATAATTGGCACCGAGTATCTTCGGATAAATCGAGAAGGTTGGTGAATAACAACAAAATTTGCAAAGACAATTCCTTCATCTTAAAGCGGCCCCTATCTTAGTAAAGTCATCGTCTCCAGGAGGACCATTCTGTATTGGAAAAATACAAGGTTCCCCAATTCTCGTTCGGTCACAGAACTAGTAATATGAAGCGGTAGAGAAACCCTCTTTTCCACCGTCGCAATCAACAAGATCAGAATACCTGCTATTTGTCCGTGGATATATACATACTAGTATATATACTGGTACTGGTAAGAGTTCCTCAAGCTTGAGGCAGAGGCACAACTAAGCACAGATTTGTTCAGGCTCTGAATTAGATATAGGCTCCGAAGGGACGGGATAAGGGCATTGTTTAAGCTCAGAGGGTCCACAAAAGCTCTCAGATGCATTATTTGGGACACCAAGCTTTTCGCCGTAGGCTACGCAGCTTTCATAATGGGGGCATAATTCCCTTGGATTGTGGATGTTGAGGACGTTTCTTCGCTTCCAGGACCACTTGGAACCACTGCTTTTCCAAAGTCATTATCAGTATCGTTATCCACTAAGGATTGATTTGTCTGAACTGCACCTTGAGTCGTTAGGATACGGGGCAATTAATTTTCTGTGGACATCTGGAAACTCGTCGGAAAGATCTTCCATGAGACATTCCAACAGCTCCTTCAACGTAATGCGGATGCCGCAACCGAGTTGCCTGGCTGCGGAAGACCGTGCGGTTGCTGTTACCTGCCCTAGTTAACTCTGGGGGGGAATAAAATGTGGGATGTAGGAGGACAGATATTGCTGCGAGCAATTCCTCAAAAGGGAAGTGGAAGATGCAAAATCAAGCCGAAGCTGTGGATTTAATATCATTTTTCGAGGGAGATCAGCGATGTTTAATGCGTACTTGCAGTGGCAGAGTTTGATTTGCTCTCATTTGCGCATTTGGCTGGTTCGCTTCTAAAACAAATAACATGCGGTGAAGTTTCGCGATATATCTTACTCTTCGTTTTCTTTTCACCTGTGCCAAAGTTCCATATTCCCTACTCTGGTGAATGGTATATCATCAATAAATTGGAAATGGCCAAACATGTCAAGACGTAATGCAACACTTCACTAATGACAGCAAGATGACATGCTTGCTTGAGGGAAATTCAATAAAGCAGCGTGAGGATTTGCCTATTGAATATAAGATCGTATGGGCCGGCGCACGATGCTGATTGGGAGATGAAAACAATGGTAAGTCACAAATGGTGCAACCTCCAAATCATGCAGTTTTCCCAACAGCCTGCAGAGAACGTGGATTTTTCCTGAAAGATATCTGTTGCTCGGATGTATGAGGATTCTCCTCAACCTCGAAATTCAGATATGGTCTGTGGTGAATGTTCTACATTCAATGACATGATCTTCCGGCATAGCTTGGGCTGTTTTGATGGAATATGGTAGGAGAGCGTTGAAGCGGGAAAAGTTTGTTTCAAATTAAAGAGCGTAGTCACTAACGTTCCCATTATTGAGAACTGCGAGAGAGAGGAGAGGGCTAGTTGAATCTCTTAGGCAAGGGCTGAAGGTATGAGGCCTGGAAAAACCTGGTGGCGTAAAATGCACCCTGTTTTAGGTTAAGAAAACGAGTATAAGAAAACGAGTATTCTGATGACGTCTTGCAAGGGACATGCTCAAAGTCGAACTTTCTGGAGATGATTTCGCAACTGGCGATCGTGGAAGAGCTGGGAGGAAATTGAACAATCTGCAAGTTAATTGACTCTGATTTGGGAAGATGAAAACTTTTCCACAGCAATGTGTTGAAGTTTTCCACTAACCATTTAGTTCACATCAATAATTTGTGACCATAAATCAGGGGAGAACAACTCCATTACTCATCAACTGAATTGTGAAAGTTTGCGATGATTGTGTGCTCTTGAACTCTGGGGCGACTGTGATTTCATGCGTGAGAAGGCGGAACTCAAGTTTGGTTAGTTAGCATGAGCGCTGTTGAGCATGAACGCAATTTGGCTTGGTTGATCAGACTAACAGGCCGATCGAAGCGGGGCTCAAACAACGGAGCCAAGAGTTCGCGGAGGAAGGAAGCCCTCCTTTCATATTGTAGAAATGGACGGCGAGCAACAAACCGTGGAGTCATCCTAGACAGAGGGTTTATCCATAGATATACATATATATATATTTATATAGATACATATATTTGAGAAAAAGTTAATCATCACACAAATCTATATGGTTGTCTGGTCAAGTAATCACCAGGCCCTGGTAAGTCCGTTTAGGCTTGAAGAGATTGATTAATTGGGCGAAAAAGATACATGGATGCTGCGGAGATTGCCAGATGGTATCCGCCGCGCACTGGGTTCGCATGACCGCGGGCGACGACGCAGCGCTGAGAAAATGGAAATAATCATCGAACTGTGCCGTACACAGGATAGAGCTTTTGAGGCTTGAGAGGATCCATGCGCGTACCCATTCGTTTTGAAATGTGCGGGCCAGCAGGCCGCATGAACTTGGGAAATAAACCTTGCCCCTCACCTCCCTTGGGTCATGAGTTATCTGGGCGCAGGAGCGTGCTGTTTTATTCGGTTGCTGAAGTGGTCGCCACGAGGCACTTGTCTGCCCATCAAATCGGCATCTCAAGTTGGTGCCCAATATGATTGTTGGGGCCCTTATCAACGTCACTTGTGCTTCACTAGCAAAGCAGAGATGGGACTCTTCATGAACGTCAGGGAGACAAACCATTTTCTCGGAGGAAAATCGGCCAGCCAGCGCCAGAAGTAACGTGGTAGGATCCATCTGCAACCTCTACGCGCCCCGGAGGGGTGAGCAGCCCCCCACCAGGCTTGCACACAGGCATTCGAGTCCCTCCAGGAATCACCGCACGACGGCTTAGCCCCCGTCACGGGTAGGCAGACTGTCATTGGGCCATGGTCGAAATGGGGGCCATTGGGGTGATGAAACGTGCAGGAAGGGCGAGAGGAGCGCGATGCAGTTGTCCAATCGCGTGACGGAGAAGCCCTAGCGGCTGGGCCCTAACCCTAGGCCCCAGCCCTAACATCGTTCCTGGCCACGCTGATTGCCTGGACACTTCTTCAGCATCTTCACCACCCAGCGCGGCGTGCACACAGCATCAGCCAACAAACCAGCCCAGCACGGAGCCAGCATACTCTCGAGACTAGTGCCTAGGCGGGGTTCTGCCATTCTCTGCTATCGTTGCCATCAGCACCGGATTATCCTGCATCGTGTCACAATAATAGGCTAGTCCTTGTGTTGAGGAGCTCAATGGTCACCACGATCATGTTTAATTTTCTGTCCCAGCAATCAAAACTCTGCTGTCTCAATACCTGAATTTTAGCGAAGGGACTAAAGGGTTTGATTCCTGGGAAGATTACGATCTATCGAGCTTGAAACCATTGCCTGCCAATCAGTTGGCTGCAGCTTCTATGCAATTAATGCTTGTTACGATCGCTACTTTATCATTCAAGTCCATCCAGCCTTCGAATCTCCGATGGCTGTTTGTCTCACCTAAGGGCGTTTCGTTTCTCCAATCCGCAATCTTTCCACCAGCTGTACTTCCCAAGGGGCAACGCCCTGGCAGGGAGAGGGTTTGACGATCCAATCCTTCTGTTCCAAGGAGGGAGGTGCGCTCGTCATTCCGGGCAGTGAGAAAATAAGATTTGATTTGAGATCTGATATCTCATCATGCAAGTGTTCAAGAAAAGATGGAATGGACATTTTAAGCTCTTAAACGCTGAATCATTTGTAGCCAAAAATAAAATTGAAAGTGATGGGCCGGAAAAAGCAAACATATCGAGCGCCGGCAATTCGATGTGCCCGCCAACGCCCTCCAGCCTATCCCTGTCGTTTGCGCTTGTGTTGCTTTTTCTCTCGTCGACATAGGTTCGACTGAGTTGAGAGCCAAAATTGTTGATGCTGTCCGGCCCCTCAGTCTCATTCCTGAATCCGTGGAGAGACCGAGTATGGGATTTACCAGAGCTACACGAGTCACTAACCCCTGTTCCCCCGCCATCTCTCATTACCTTCATTCGCCGCCAGCTTCTACCCACTATTTCCACCACCTGACGGACGTGAGGTGGGCAAATAACAGTTTCTGGAGACATCGTGTCAATTGATACTTGGACAGGCCACATGCTCTTAGTGGCTTTTTCTACTCCGTACTTGCGTCTTTTATTTCTTCTTTTTCAGGAGAGAATGGAACAAAACATTGTTCGCACATAATTATGGTCGCTTGTCGTCCCTTATCCATACGCATGTATTCTGTAGACACCACCGACTCCTCCTCCCCATTGCTCACCTTCTCTGGACATTTATACACAATCGACAACTTTGCTGTTTGAATTTCGCCGACTTCCTGATCTTGGCTATCATTCCTTACTTCCTTGTACAAGCTAACCTTATCCCCAGCCGCCCTTCGGTGGTGCTCGTCTGCTGAATTTAGCCTCGCATGCTACGATTTCACACGGCGGTTATTTCTCTGGGCAAGTTGTGGAGTCATTTTCCCAAACCCCGAATTTGGTGCTACGATCCTTTCGAGAGGGTTGTGATTTCTGTCTCTTGTAATCTCTCTGCGCTTAGCGGTTGACCCCCCCCCCGATTTCCGTAACTTGTGTTGAATACAAACCCTTGCCCCTCACCGTTAATTTCTGTTTCTTTCCCCCCTGTTCTCTTCTTCTCCAGCTGAAATAAATTCCGACCCTGTGCGACGAGGACGCTGACACATGTATAGACACGCCTACACTGGCATCCCCGTGCTGGTTTGATAGTCCTCTGGTCACTTCGTCATTCGCAAGGCAATGTCTACAGGCTCGAGATCCACCTCGGGTGCTCTGGGAGTGAGCCAGATAAATACCCACGACGATTTCGACCCATGTGCTTCCACTGCTTCGCTGTTTCTCTACTCTCAGGGCTCTTCTATCCTCTGTTTACACCATGATACTCTGGCGGTCGAGCGACGGTTTGACCGCCACCAGGAGAAAATCCAGTTTATATCTGTGGACAATGTTAGCGAAAGGGGTGCTGGAAGGCTAGTAGTTAGCTATGATGTTAGTCAGACGGCAATAGTTTGGGATATATTCACTGGACAAGAAATATCGCGATTTGCTTCTTTTGAACATATCCGAGTTGCAACCTGGCTGCGGAATGGGAATGTATCGTTTGGTGGGAAAATTCTCCAAAAAAATTAAAGAATAAAAGTTAGAACAAAGTCATTGCTGACTGGCTAGCAGGAAATACCAAAGGGGAAGTAATCATATTTGAACCTGCAACTTCTGAACATGTGTCGGCTCGCACGATTTTCGATCCCATTACTGCGTTGGCACCGGGAAACGATTGTCGGATTTACGCGATTGGGTATGCGCTCTTGAGAGAAATCCTTGGGATTTCACCGCTAACAAACATCCTCATAGATATAATAATGGTTCAATATTAATCGCTACCATTCAACCTTTTACGATACTTCATACTCTTACTACCTCTCGTGGCCCTTCCTCCATTGTTTCATTGGCATGGCATGCCTCATCTACCAAGCAGAAATCAGACATGCTCGCCAGCCAGACTGTTGAAGGAGATCTACTTGTGTGGAGTGTATCAAAGCATCCCGCCAACGAAACGCCTCGCGTCATTAGATCATTGAAAAGGTCTGAATATGGCTCACCTGGGCCAAAATGGTTGGCTTGGTCCAAGAATGGGCGAATTGTTCAATATGCTGAAGGGTATTTTTTTTTTTTTTTTTTTTTTTTTTAAATGCCCATTTCTTTAAGTTGCAGATTCCATTAGCTGACATATGTTTTAGGGAGACTTGGGCATGGGATGTGAGAACAAAGCACGTAACTTACGAGCAAGTGCCAACCGTACAAGGAGTGAGAGGCCTGGCGAACTATGGATCAACAGCTTCTCTGTTCACACTGGGGCCGAATCATACTGTTCAACAATATGATCTTGAAAACCCTACCATGGTCGCCAACGTTCAGCACCTCCCTCTTACTTCCTTGACCAGCCAAACTACCGAGGCACAACCAGAGAAAGTTGAATCGGGACTTACGACACAAAATTTGGCACAATATCAAACCAGCATTGCCGAGAGAATGAGAAGTCCGTCCCCAGCGTCATCAGGGCGACCTATTGAGCCAAATGCCTTAGAACTTGCCCGCCAACGGGCTGGGTTAAAGAGCCCTATGTCAACCGGAAGTCAGACCACCTCGACCAGTTCCGCAAACTCGTACAATCGTGGTGTACGTGGTGCGATGTCGATTCGATCCAGATCTTACAACAGCGGAACGACATTTTCAATGGGCTCGCCCGCGCCTTCAATTCCGGAATCGCGATCGGTAACTTCTTTGAATTATGCCTCTTCGGTTTCTACCTCCTCCAGGAGATCATACGCTCGCGGCTCCTCACGATTGCGCCATGAATATCTCCCGAACGCGAGCAATACCAGCAGCCATAATTCGCTCGACAAGCCAATTACGGAGTTATTTCCGTACATCCGGAGCCGTGTAAACAATGTCCCGTTCCAACCCCCTCGCCCTCAAAACGACGGTAATCTATCACCGGATGAGCTTAGGAAACAGATGCTCCATGTTGTTTTCGGATGGGAAGGAGATATTGATGAACTAATACGAGATGAGTGTGAGTTCCATTTGATCCCGATATTCGATAATTTTTGTGAGTTTATTGACTCTTTAATCCTTTTTTGTAGTGCGCCGTCACAATCCGGGAAGCCAACATGCCATTCTCCTCGCCCGCTGGTTGGGAGAAATCGACACAAACCTTATCTTGTCAATGATGGGACCAGGCTCTAGCCAGTACAGCGATTGGATGTTGCTTGCGTTAACGCAGCTTGGAAACCAGGGCCATAGCAAACATCTCGGGCAAGCGCTGGTCCAAAAGCTTCTGGCAAAAGGCGATATTCATGCTTCTGCAGCAGTTCTCCTCGGAATGGGCGATTGCAACGATGCCATCGAAGTTTACGTATCAAGAAATCTGTACATGGAGGCAATTCTTTTGACATGCTTATTAATGCCTTCTGAATGGCAGCGGCAATCGTATCTAGTAAGAAAATGGGGTGAGCATGTTGTTCAAAACTCCCAACAACATCTAGCTATACGATGCTTTGCTTGTACCGATGCAGAAACATCCGAAGCATGGGCTTCTCCAACTGCCCAGATGACCACTATTTTATCAGATCAATTGTCCAGATCTCGAGGCCCAACGCCAACGAATGCTGAGCCGTCCATTACTGCCAATGCACCCCGTCCACCCTCTCGCGGCAATCTTAAAAGCCCGGCCCTGAAGCTCATCACTTCTTTCAGCCCACATCCTAATGGCCAGTTCAAATTCCCTGGTCTTACTTCTGCGGATCGGACGCCAACCAATGCTCCCGGGATTACACCGATCGCAGATTCTGCACTTGTCGACCCAACCTCACCTGGAGGATTTGGTTCACATAGATTACCTATGGGAAGAATCGGTCGCGCGGGAACACCGAACAGCTATGCTAAACACCGCCTCCCATCAATTGGCGAAACACCAATCGATGTGAATCCTCCAGCTTTTGGTATCCCTAAAAGTTTGCCAACGCCCGTTGACTCAGGGTCGGATAAAGAGAGGGATGCTCGTAACGCCGGCATGGCCATCGCACAGCGCCAATCTGTTGACACACCGGAACCTGTTTTGTTGTCGTCTGCTAGGTATACTCCTATATCTGAAACCCCAAGAAAGACTCCAACAACTGCTGTTTTGCACGGTGATGATGGATCCGACGGAGGCCGCCCATTTTCGCCCCTTCCAAACGATATATTCGAATCACTGAAAGCACAGAATCAGAGTAGAACGAATTCGCATGAACAGAAGGATGGCCGCAAGGCTGAGGATCTCCATATGCCATGGCCTCCTTTGGATGCTTTCCCAGAGAGTGGGCCTGACACTTCAATGTCCTACGACATTATACCCCGATCAATGTCGCAAAACCAGCATCGAGGAGCGACACCTGATAATTTCTATAGCTCAGCAATGTCAACTACCAGTGCACGATCAACAAGGAGTGCCAATGCTAGTGTCAGAAGTATTGATCAATATATCAGTAGCCTAGACGAAGCTAGCTACCGTTCTGGCCATCACAGAATCGGACGCGAACGACGAAATACAGATACTGACCCTAATATCAAGGCCCGTAGCAAGCAGAAGTCTCGGCCAAACTCGAAGGAATCCCATGGGAGAAGCAATCAGCGGTACATACAACCAGCAAAGAGATCGCCGTCGTCACCCATCCCAATGTCTCCGGATGACTTGGCTCTCTATACTACTGGGGACACGACTGATAATCAATCAAAATCGAACGTGGATCAAGGGCGTCGCCATAGGAGCAGAAGACGTACAAAATCCAGAACTCGATCAGCGTCCAAAAGCCGCCATCGACTCCGCAATCGTTCCGGTTCTTGGGCTGGAGATAAGTCTAGTCAGGTTACAACGCGCCGCCATAGCCCAGATCCATTATATAACTCCATTGCAACACGAGGAAGGAGTTCTCAGAGGACTGAGGGTTCTGGTCCTAGATCTCCATCTTCTCCACTTCCAATGTCTCCAACTCTCGGGGACTACAACAGTGGCCAAGATGTTGAGAATGGCCTTCGGCTAGTTAATGTAGATAGGAAACATCGTGTACGATCGAGACACACGAGTCAGAACCGCCGTCCAGAACGTGGCACAAGTTCTCGCCGTGATCCATCTCCAGACCGAAGGAGAGAGCGCAATCGCTCTCACAGTAGACAGAGTCATGACCGCTCAACGAGTGCACTGCGAGACACATACGCTAGTGGAGATGGCAATAAAGGCCATCGTAGGCACGCCTACTCTATCGATAACGAAACTCCCTCGACCGCAGGTTTTGAAACTGGTCATCAGCTGCCATTACAATCTATGGCAGAACGTAAAAGAAAGGAATTAGCAGCCGCTGAGTTGGAAGCTCGCCGTCTGTCCCTAGCACGCCGACCTTCTGCTCCCTCTATCCCCCTTCCGGGGGAGAGTGGCAGTAATTTTTCTCTCCGACAAAATGCAGTTGACAGTCCCCCATACAGCGGCTCCTTCAATCAAAGAATGGGAGGGAAAAACATTTCACCAGCTAATTCGAACTCCGATTCCAACCACTCGGGACGTGGGCCTTCGAATGTCCCGATTGGGCTACCTGCAACTCCCAGGGCAATGAGACATCCAAAGTACAGCACAGGCTACGCCGATGTCAATGCCCCTGCTCTACCTGAAGTCCCAGACAATATTATGACACTAAGTGACGCTGTTTATCGACCAACTGGATACAATATTTCGCGGTCGGCTTCAGCTCCACCTGAACACCTTGAACTCAATGGAAAACCACTCGGGATTGTGGCCCACCCGCATTATCAACAACAGATACCGAGTAGCAAGCCAGCTCAGAAATTTTCTCACCGACGACAAACGTCACAGGATATGGGCCACAATCTATCAAATGGCAATAATGGCAATGCAGCACCACCACCTCTCCTGCCGGAGCTTCGGCATCTGCAATCACCTCCACCACCGCCACCACCACCTCCCATGATAAATACCCACATCCAAATGCCGTCGACGTATGATTCACGAAACTCGCTTGTTTCAGGAGTGGGAACTATCAACATAGCCATTGATAATCCCTCAAAGATGAATGATATGGGGCTGCAACAACCACCAGCAATATTCTCCCCCATCGCCGAGGCGTCAGGACTCTCTCCCTTGAAAAGCAATGGCGATAGCACCCATCGGCGCGGCCGCAGTGTGAATGAGAACTTCACGAGCAAAATCCGCACTTTTACAGATAGAATGCGTAGTACAAGCCGAGGTCGCAATACTCGTCCTCCGGAATCCGATGCGCCCTCACCGTATGAAAGCTTGTCGATACAAAATGTTATTGAGAACAGGATATAGATCAGAAACTGCAACTCTCCAGGGAGCAAGTCTATATCCCCAATACAAAAAAAAAAAAATTGCGGCAGTGACTACACACCTGCGAAAAACTGGAAATGGGGGGAAATATTAAAAATAAAAACCTAACTCCTTTTGTGATGTTTTTGGGATATGGAGCTAGGATCAAATGAAAGTCTTATACTAAATTTAAAAGATGGAAGCGACCGTCAGCGGTAAAAAATGTGTTTCTCATTATTATAATTCATTATGATTTCAGTCCTTTTTGCTCTTCTCATGTTATTCCTTCATTCATCGACAAAGATTATATGGATGTCATAAATCAGCGAAGTTGGGCAACCAAAATTCGCTGCTCAATGATACCGTGAAAAGCAACACGCATGTTATGTTTGCTGAACATTTATATTTCCTTTTAGCATTTCTTTTATTTCCGAAAATATCTATTGCTAACGTCCCTAATTCCTGTTTCGCGTTATTTCTCCTTATCCCAGCAGTTTTCTTTCATTTTTACCGTTGCTTCTCTATTGAACTCTGTCGTCGCTCTATTCGTTCTGATATCCCCTCCAATCAATGTTTATGGTTTTTTTTTTTTTCCTTTTTTTTCTTTACCGTACGATATTTTCTTCTCAGGGGACCGACGCATTTAATTGGGGTGGCTTTGATTAAAATCGTGGCAGTGTTCTCTTCCATTTTTGTAGCGCACAAACCAATCTCCACCGAGTTTAATATATGAACCATTCGCTGTCTCACTTAATCTACATAGCATCGTGATGCTGATATCCATGTATGTTTCCTAGTAACAAAAGGCGTTCTACAGATATATATGCATGTCTAATACTTATAATTCAGTATCATTCTAAAGTGATAATAATACACACAAATATGGGATGTGGATGTGGATATATGCTTTGCAAACACACGTGCATAGCTGTGGAATCAACCCAACTCATAGGTAATATTGCCTCTTCTATTGATAAAGTTAGGGATAGTCGAACATCGAAGGGAATATCAGCTCCAGCACGCTATGAACCTCTCCCCCAATCCCTTTTTTGTTTAGTATAGCTGTCGCCGTCACCGATATTCTGCCTCTCCTGTTCAAGCAGGCGGTCGAACTCGCGCTGCGCCTTGTCTTTAGATTGTCGCGTAGAATCTTCATAGTTGTCTGGTTTATTCTGAGGCCACTGCTCAGGTTGTGGTTGGAAAGGCGTGGAGGAAGGGAACGCGGATGCGGCGCGTATTCGATCCCATGAGCTGCCGGGAGGTGTTGATGACGAATCGGATGGTGTACCCTCGGTGCTTGATATTGGTGAATACAAGCTTGAGCTTTCCCTCTTGATAGATGGGCGGCTGGAAGCGGATGAGGGTGACCCGCGTAGCCGATCCCAGGCACTTCCTGACGGCTGAGATCTAGTGGTTGTTGAGCCTGCTGTTGCAGGTGTTGTGTTGGAGTTGAAGCCAAAGACATCATCGTCGTCGCTTTTATCGATTATATGGCGACCCTGTCGATATTTACCCAAATCGCCTTGCTGCCTCTGCGAAGGGTTCCACTGCTGCGGATTTGATTGCTCCGGAACGTTCGAATCTGCTTGTGATTGCATTACGTAAATTTCGCTTGAAGATCCGTAATGGGTAGAAGAGTAGATTGAGTCATCATCGCCATTTGATTCGAATCCAGCGGTTGGGCTGGCATTGTCTTTCTCTGGTTTACTTTGCTGTGAGTGAGGGCGACGTGGGGTTGACTGAGTATGACGAGTTTTCCACCCAAGCTTTTCTAGGCTTTTCTGAACCTTCTGAGGATCCTGATTTGCGCGATCTTGCCGGTATTGGGCTAATCTGGGATCCGATGTCAAATCTCGCACTGCGAGAGAGGCGCCGCTTGCTTTTCCGAAAATATTCCCTGCAAAGACACAAAACGGCCAAAGTAATGTTTTAATAATTAACGGTCTATCTACCATAACCTTCATTTGTGAAAAAGGTACTAGACGACCGTTCTTGAAGAAAGGCTTTGCGACTAACAGGAACCCCAAAAATGAGCCAAGGTATGCCCCAATTCGAGGTTTTGTGGTTAAGCTTACGGCCTGTTCAACGAAGGAATCAGTCTCCAGTTGAGTAAGCGGTCTGTCCACAAAAGCCATCCCAATTTCAACATGTTGTTTAATCCGAGAAGCCATATATTCCTCGTATGCGGGTCTTGATCGCAGAAATAACAATTGTTTCCCCAATCCGTAGGGTGGAACTTCAATTCGGGTGGCAAACATTCTGAGAGGTGATAATGTGTTTTGTGAGAAGGAGTAGTTATCGCCAGAGTCAATAGCAGCATTGCCATAGCCATCTGCCTGGGGCGAGACCTCGTTCCGCACCATCATGGAGGCAGCCGTGGTTGCGGGGGTTGTTTTTCGCGGTCTGAAGAGGGAGATAGGTTAGTGACTACTGAGGCCGAAACCCGATCAGAAGGGGAGATTGTAAGCAACTCACGTCGTCAGTTACTACTCTATGTATGGAGGCCCTTGTTGCGATACTCGGTCACCACTCTGTTGGAGTTCAGGTTCAAGCTGCTGCCGATTGATCAAAATGATGATATAATGCACGTGATTGGAGTTCTGGGATGACTTAGGGGAAAAATGCTAAGGCCACTGGGGCAAAAGAGCTCAATCACACCACGCCATGTTGGTAGTAGATAGGACGAACCAATCCAAACCCCCAACAATTTGTGCAGCAGTATCATTTCATTTACTATAAGATGCACGATGGGTCAAAAATATACGTTAATGAAAAAAATTCAAATTAAATCCATCTCCTTCAATTACATGAGATCATTCTGATGGAGTCATATATCACACCACTGTCCCGGGAATATTTACATGTGCCAGCGTACGGACCTATTGAACAAGAAACCAGTCTTACCATTTTTCAATATATGGCCGCATATCAAGTTCTTGGGTAAAGGTAGTTCTTGGCTGGGTATGCAGGAACCAATACGTCTCCGCAATCTTGGGGGTAAACAAAACGTTAGCTAAATGATATCACACAACGACATAAGAAAAGCAGGTCTTTTTCTCTCTTCTCCGTTTTTTATGCTCAGACTATGACACTGAAACTTCGGCATTCAAACTAACCGAATTAGGGTCCAATTTTGCGTCGGGAGCGTCAAATTTGAAGCCCTTTGTGCGCTCGACATCAATAATGCCATCGATGATAGCATGGCAAACGTGGATTCCCTGAGGACCAAATTCCCTTGCGAGTGACTGGGACAGGGCTCGCATAGCAAATTTTCCCGTCGCGAATGATGCGCATAGGGAGGAACCTTTGAGGCTTGCGGTAGCACCTAAGCCATATTAGTATTATCCACCCAATTCGAGAGGAAGAAAGTCAACTGGGCGTGAGATAGATTATACCAGTGAAAATGAGAGTCGGAGGATGCTCTAGATCTCCAGACTTCAGGAGTAAAGGCAGCGCGGCCTGGGAGAAATGAAAGGCGCCCTTGCTGTAATTTAATTGTTCCAAAGCAAATAGGAAGTATATTAGTCTGGTTTGCTCAGAGTTCACATGCAGCGGTGGCTTTATGGTAAAAGCTCCTGACGGACTGGTGGGGCACATAGGGACTGGAATAATAACAATGAGATACTGATGTAGAATATACATAATTTAGAGAGGCGCATACGCATTGCTCTCGTAGCCAGCAGTGAAATCCTCCTGCGAAAGGTCGAGAAAGGGCTTCCGCACAAAACCCCCCCCAACATTATAGATCGCAGCCGCGAGTGGCGCGCCAGGAAATGCTTTCGATATTTCCGCGAAGGCGTTCTTCACGCTCGCATCGCTTGTGACGTCTGTGTTTACGCCCATGGCGTTCCCGCCACTGCTACTTATTTCTTGGACGAGAGTCTGATAACTAGCCACACTTCGCGCCAGGAGGGCGACACTGTACGTTTGGGCAAATTTGCGGGCGATCGAGGCTCCCTGCCGCACCGCAGAGCACTGTTAGAACGTTGAACGCTGTATTTGTGTTCTCGGCTAAAGCAGATATATATATGCGCCTTACAGTGCCAGCACCCACACCTGCAATAACTGCAACCGATTTTACTGCCATGGTCAAAGGGATTAGGCTCAGATCTCGGGTGTTAAGTGTGGTTAGAGGAATAGCTAGAGAAATAGCTATGACAGTTAACAATTATAAAGAAAATAAGAGAAGAGAAGGGGGAAAATAACTATCTGAACCCAGAAGATTGGATAATCGGATGGTGGACTTGAATAGTTAGTCCGAGTGTTTGCCCGAGTTTGCAGAGTCAGCCAATGTCGTCATAACTATCTAAGGTGTTTGTTTATAAATATCAAATGTCAGACCTATTTGCGATGCTTTGTCGGAATGATGATCAATCTGAATAAAAATAAGGAAAAGAAATAGATAAAAGAAGATAGATGAGAATGTTGAATTTCTCATATTCAATTACTATTATTATTATTCCTTATACTGCAAGCAGTGCTTATGCCGAGTCCTTGTGTGATGTTACATACGGGCAAGAGTTGGTTATAAAGGAACAACAGATGGATGCTGCAAACACCTTTTGCAGTCACAACCCTTCTTATTCAGTTTAACATCATATAAAAAGATGTTGGGTGGTGTTTTTAATCAACATCACTATCACCTTTAATGCAAGGGTGGGAATCACTTATGATGCCGATGCCCAGCCTGCGGAAAAAGGGGCCTTCAAACCTGATAAAAAGGCAAGGATAGGTGGGCAAAATGAAGGAAGAGCAACAACGATATATCATCATACATACTCTGCAGCCTTAGTAAAGGGAACTTTCATCTAGAACCTGGTGGGCAGCGGTCTTCATGAAGCCAGAGAAACCCCAGTCGCTCGGGAGGCCATGAGTTTTCTCTGGTGCAGTAACTCTCTCGCACCTGTGGATAGCTTGTAGGAACTCTGGGGATGTTGAAAAAGTCACTTTCTCTCTGGTGCTGTCCCTACATTGCACCTTGAGGTCCTCTGTCTTTTGTAGCCACTCAAACGGGAACGAGTCTGGCGAGTAGGAGATGCACAAACAAAAAAGGCCCGCCATGAGCCTGCCAACGTGCTCCGGGGCAATGGAATGGCTTTATTTCTGATTGCATAACGTGCAATTAGTGGAAATGACTGGTGCTCTGCTTGTCTGCTGAGGTACGGATAGTTTTAGTGAAGATGAGCATGAAAAGCAGCTTTTAACCCACCAGCTGCCTGTCGCCCTCAGCTTCTTGCCTGGTTGTTGCCTTCTTCTTCCTTCATATTTTTATATTGGTCCCTGGTTTCGTCGCCTGTCTCTGCTGTCTCGAGGCGGGATAATACGTCAACTTAGCTTAGGGTTCAACAACTCACCTTAGCACGTCCACACTCGACGAAGTTTAGTTAGCATGGACATGGCATCTCCTCGTCGCCAGGCCGTTCATGGCCTGGACAAAATCCCTTCCACCAAAAAGGAATGGCACGAAGCGATACAGAAATATGGCCTTCAACAGCGCACCCTCGAGCAACTGTGCATGGAAGGTACTGTAGCTGCTCCCTGACCAATCTGTACAGGCTTCTGATGCCAGAACAGGGAGTTTTTCTGCATCGACTGTTCCAAAAGAAGTATTTCTTACCATCCGATGCATTTGGCCTGAAAAGAAACAGTCCAAAGATGCCTCCATGTACGGAGTATATTGCCAATCTAGAGTATTTTTTCAAATGAAGATCATTCCTATGATGCCACAAAACTTATAAACAGAAACATCCTTGGCCTTGATAAGCTGAAGACCTTGTATCGCATTATATGCAACCCAAAGGAACCCCGCAAGCAAACCCCTCCTGAATATTCTGGCACACTTGCGCCCGTTCTCAATGCTGGTTAATGTGTACAACCAACTTCTGGATAAATCAATTCAGGCCCCAATTGATGAACGTCTATTGGGTGGGGCTCCCAAAAGAATCAGATTCTGTGATGCTACGCGTCCCTCAGCAGTTGTAGATCCGACAAGTCCAACACGCCAGGCCTTTCCCTCTGAGGAGCTCATCATGGTGGATACCGAGATGACAAACGTCGGATATCATCAGTCGACAGCCAGTTGTCCTACTCGAATGCATCCTCCTGCTGCGAGTTCAGTTACAGAACCAACAGATGAGGAACCACTTCGTCGAACCCCAATTGAGACTCTTGTTATGGATTTTATGGTCACCCTTCTCGGAGGGCTAGCAAGCCTTGTGCAGGCTCTCAGCCCCAGGCCCCTCTGCATTACAAACTCCTTTGAGACGACCTATACATTCGGCCCTATCCGTACTACTTCTCAGCAACAAGTCAATGTTCAGTTCCGAGCCCGTATTGATGGGAGCATCCCGTTCGGTCTAACTCTGGCTGGCATGCCACGCGAAGCTGCAATCTTCGAAGCAAAACGCGCTGCGCGTGGGGAGAGCGGGGGTAGTATCCCTGTTTTGGCTCAGCATTCCATGGAGCATGTTGCCTACATCTGGAAACGCCATGAAGATGACCCGATGGTGATACCAACCCCTTACCTTTGCATGTACCCTTAATTTTGATCATTGAATCTCTTACTGACAATGGTTCCGTTACAGTGGAAGACAAGTGTCAAAACCTACCATACCTTTATGGTAGCTCAAGACTACTTGCACTTCGTTAAGATACGGAAATGCTGTCATATCTGCCTATCCCAGATGGTCCGCAAAATGCTGTCAAACAAACAATCGGCCAGTCCACAATTGAGTGGAAGTGACTACTTAATACTGCACACATCCTTTTATTGCCTGAGACATTCTCCCATTTATGCTATCTCTCATCTATATATCATCATCTATATACCATCACCAGATATCATCAGTGGATATCATTCATTCAAGCAGGTGAGTAGATAGATAGGCAGGTAGGCAGGCAGGTACTCAGCTAATAAGCTAGCATGGATAGGTAGGTGGATAGCTAAATTGTGATGTTTATTCTCATAGAGATTGATTGGATATTGAGCAGGTAGGTTGGTTGGTAGGTAGGGAGGTAGATAGGTAGCTAGCTATCTAGTTACCATTCTTTATTCTATTAGCAATCAATCAGATATCACGCACGTAGATAGATAGACAGGTAGACAGACAATTCAGGGGTAAGAATAGGGGTATCTAAGCCAATTGTCAAGTCTCTACTGCATAAATAAAAGTGGGAATTATTCAGTATTTGGATCAATCAGAGATGCAAAAATCTTCTCTACATCAATAAAATCATTGAGATTCAAGTTACATTTTTAAATGTATTGATATTCTTATCATTTCAGTCATAAAATGAGTAGCTTTTGTCCCTCTCCTCAGAGCATTGTATGATTCTTAGAGACTTTTGCTTCACTGTTTAATTAATAGTTTATCATTCTTATGAATATTGAATTGATTATGATAACTCTGATCAGTACATGATAAAAAGGCAGTATTTATAAGGAAGAGAATGCTCGATTATACGAGCGAGGTAGTGCTCGGGTTTCAAGAAGCGAGAGGTGATATAAAATCTCTAATATACGAAATACGACAATATATTATCTCCGACATGCTTACCAGGAGACAACGCGAAGGTTGCAAATCCAATACAATCGGGAATATTAATTTAGTTTGGCTTGAAATCCAGGCCATTGGTTTTCTTTGACTTGTTTTTAATCGTAAATGTATCTTCTATTAAATATGTAAAAATCTCTGGTGTTCTCTTTTCTAGGAACCTCGCAGAAGATTTAAAAACTTCCGTCCAAATAAAAATTAAACTATTCACAAACAAATCCTCGCATTCAATATGAAGCCCGGCTCATTCCCAAAGCCACCCTCATTTCCCGCTTCATTCATCAAATCAAAAGAAACGAAAACGCAGCCATTCGATTCTCCAATTGGCTTCAGCAATCCAGGGCCGGTAAGTTGTCTGCTTTTATAGAATGCCCGGGATAAGGATGCCACCCAAAATGCCCCCATCCTTTTGCCTTGAAGAATTTCGTTTGGTCGTCTCACCCGAAACATCTTTGGCCAAGCTCCCGAGAGTCTGGGTAAAACCTTCAATCTTGGACCCGAGGTCGCCAACGTCTTGTCGACGGGTATTTTCGCTGCGGCCCTTCTTCATACCCACGCCACCAAGCGTGTTACCCAGGGCGCCGGTTGCACCCTTCACCGTGTCCCCAAGGCCTCCAGGAAGACTACCAGATAAGGCGTCCGGAGCTCCACCGATTTGTCGGCGAGAGATTCGGCTACGGCCGATCTTCACAGCTTTAGCCTGCGAAGCGCATACTTTGTCAACCTCAGCCTGCAGGTTGCCAGCAGGGAGTGATTCGATTTGTGCCAAAGCTCTGTCAACCTGGGCCTGGTCTCGGGTAATATCTGTTTTTGCTTTGTTCTCTAGATCCGCCAAGGTGGTCGCGAACTGCTCAGGTGTAAGGTTGGCGAGTAAGGCGCAGGCTGACGAGATATCCGTGGGAAGAGAATTGTCCGCGATGGTGCCCAATGGTGCAGCCACGACAAGGAGGCCGAGGAAGGACGAGCTTGTGAACCGCATTTTTGCAAGTTGTGCTTTGTTTCGGAAAGGACTGTAGTGTTTTTTCAAAAAGAGCGTTTGGTACTTAAAGAGGGTGGAAGGAGGATGAAGACTTAAGACTCGACAACGGAGGGTCTCTGGCAGGATACATTTGCGGTATATATAGGTAATCAAAAAGGGGGGTGTTACTCCCCAAGTCTAAGAATGCCAACTTCTCTTGCATGCTGGCTGGCTGGACACAACAGTTTTGCCAATAACATATACCCGCGGTATGGCATGTTCCGATGCAGCATTAACACATTAGCTCTGGCAGCACTATTGAAGATGCCGTGTGATCTTCGATGACGTTCCGTCCATATTATTGGCGCACGATAAAGCTTCTCATCATGGACTCAAATAAAGAGGGCATGAGAGCGGTAAACAAGTTGGTCTTGCACTTCTCTCGCGCATTAGCTTTATGACCACTGACAACAGGGCCTCCTCCGTTATTGAGAAAATTTATCGGACAAATGAGCATCGAGTATTTGATGTCCAATGGTAGCTCAAAGCCGAGCGATTTGCACCGAAATATTCGCCATCCATGGGTGTTGATATCCGGACGGGGGTCTGTAGAATCAAGAAATATGGATGTGGCTATATGGCTTGCCGATCATGATAATACATAAACTGATATTTCGGAGTCTGGCGAAGTTCAACACTTCAAAAAGGAAAAGAGAAGCAAGAAATAACTAAAGTGAACTCAGGTTTCGTGATCAATAAAATAGGCCCAATTCAACTCATGTTAGCTATCGATTGTGTCCAGTCAACTTTAGCGCCTGCTGTTAAGTTCTGGGGTTCGGAGATGACTCCCCATGCTGCAGTATCATATTATCATTTTGCCTTCGTCGAACACCAACGGATAAAGTCGCAGGCAAGAAGGAAGCGTAAAATTAAGGCCAGGCCGATCGAAAGCCCTCCGAGGCTCTGACCCCGTTGAGAATGGATTAAACTTGGGCTTCATGTCCAGTGGATTATGCAGCTCAGTTCCCAATGGTTGTTTTCACAACTATTGAATCTTGCTGGGGGGTGGGAACCGGAGAAATATAATATCAACATCAACAGTGAAGGGGAAAAAGAAAAGAGAAAACAAAAAAAGGAAAAAACAAAACCACTTCCCCTGGACTAGCCGTTTTTGGGAGTCATTGATAAATATCCTTCCTAGTATTGTGAATCCCCAGGCCACATCACCTGGGATTTAGGCAGTGAGCTAGTGGGCAAGCCAGGGGCATTGGCCTCTATTAGCCCCCTGGGACTCCCTATCCTTTTCATCAAGAGATGGTTAAATTCTTAACGCAAGTCAAAACTTTTGGCAAGGCCTCTGTGCATGGACGTATCATTCATTCCAAGCCGCATTCTCCATTGATGATGTTTTACGCTGAGAAAATTGTGTGTTGAGCTCGGAACAAGCATCTCGGCACTGGGATGACAAAAAGATGGTATATCTCGTTAGTGAAAAGCCTTTATCAGAGCTCTAGCTAGCGATCAAGAATCTACTACTATTCTATTTGGAACATCAGATTACCCTCCGTTTGATACTAACTGGGAATAGAATCTAAGGACGAAACCGTTCATCTGACCAGCTAATCCCAAGCTACAACCAACGCCCCTCTCCCAGTGGGCACTGAGATGTTGAGACCCCGCGTTCAATCACATTTTAATTGATATTCGAACAGCGCTTGAAACAAGATCTGTTGTCGAAAACCAACCAACAAAGCCCGAGTTAAAGCCATGGAGGTGCTTGGCACTTGGAAGTGGCCAGCTACCCGCGCAGAGTTCCAGAAGTGGGGGAATGGGGTTTGTCTTGAGAATGATAGCCCCAAGGGAGGGACTTGGATGAAGGTTTGAAGCCGGTCAAGCAATGGAGGTGCTATAACGATCCAAGTTGCGTCACGACAAGATCGCCCACGGACGATGATGCTAGGCAAGAGCACGATTTGCTCCAGCGTCGAGCGGGGGATAAGTTTTCCCTGCACTTCGGAGTAGAAAGCATGGCAACTCACACCATATATGTCACCTCTAAAGTTTACCGATTTCCACTACGTATGGAATCATATCGTCATGTTTCTTCCCTGTTGGTTGGGAAGACTTTAAGATATACGTGATAATGATATGATGCTATGAATACTATAAAACAATTCGTTTGATCCGATTATTTAGTTCTTAGGCTGTGATATAAACCCTGACCGTGACTCTAGTGGGGATTTCCTTGTATCTATGTTCATCTATATGCCCATAAACACACTTTCCAAGCAGGATATGAAAGTAGTAACTATTACAAGGAAAGGGTTTAACAAATAATTGCTAAGTACCGGCTAGTGCAGCTTGGGGAGTATTGGGGAGCCAAACGAAAGGATATATAGGAAAAGGACATATGTAAAGAAAATAGAGCAACAGAAAATGTACACACAACCTGCTAGGTTACATAGCGGAACCTAGGATTTCGATCACCCATCTCAGAAATTTCTTCCTCCGTCATCCCTTCAATCTTGTGATCTTGCAAGCCCACAGAGCGCGCTTTGTTGATCCGTTTGTAATGGAACCACATAAAGGTATAGATCACCGCCGAAAATCCAGTAAGAGCAAGGGTTACCGCATGGCCCTTGATGTAGCGTGGGCCGTCCTTAGTGACGTACAAGAACGGCGTCATGATGCCACTGACATTCCCCATAGTAAGCTGGAGGCCGGTCGCGAACGTTCTCTTGCCGAACCGCGGGAGATTCGTCGGCAGCCAGGCGAGCGGCAGGCCAACGCAGACATACAACCCAACCGCGACAAGGAAGCAGCCGAAATAATGGACGCCGGAATTGCTGTCTGACATCAGCACCGCATAGCCGATGATAGTAATGATACAAAATGCAACTGTGAAGACCGCACGACGCTGCATGCGATCGCTAAACCAGGCGATAACGAGGTAAGTAATGGCGCCCAAGGCGTAGCAAGGAATAGTCAGCGCCTGCACCTGCGGGGCCGTCCACGTCCCGATACCCTTGATGATGGTGGGCAGGAATGTGCTATATCCGTACAACACGGTGTCGACGCCAAACTGACTAAGACACATGAGCCAGATGGTCCAGTCTTTTGCACCCTCTTTGGCATCCTCGATATGGAACTGCTGCGCCGAGTCGGTCTGGCCAATTTCCGTATTGCGGCAAGCCCGCATGAGGGTTCTCTCTTCCGCGTTAAGATAGTAAGCAGTGTCCGGATCATCGGCGAGGCCAAACCATGTCGCAACACCGATGAGGACTGAAGGGATGCCCTCGATGATTAGGATCCAGCGCCATCCCTTTTGCCCGGCAATTCCGCCCATGAAGCCAATGGCGTAGGCGAGCAACCCACCGCAGGCCCCAGCGAGCGCGGCAGCGCTGAATAGATAACCCACTCGCAGCGCGATCTCGCGTTTCCCGTAGAACAGTGTCATGTAGGCAACCAGGCCAGGGAATAAGCCAGCTTCCACACATCCTAGGAGGAAGCGGCATACTATCAGACCGGCGAAATTTTGAACAATTCCCGTCAAGGTGGCAATGATTCCCCACGACACTGCGATGAAGGAAATGTAGCGAGACGCTGTGAATTTTCGGATTACAAGGTTGGACGGCACTTCCAGAAGCTGGTAAGGTGAATGAATGAGTTAGTTAAGTTTGATGCGGACGGTGGGCTATTTTTTTTTTTTATTTTTTTTTATTTATTTTTTTTTTTTTTTTAAGCTTTGGGCCGGAGGAAGGGGTTTCGGGGAAGCGAACACAGTAAGGTATAAATAAAATCGAGACTGCGATCTGGTATTGATTGCCAGCGAGACCTAGGTCCGATTCCATATCGTAGAGGCGCGCATTGCCGATATTCACTATTGCACGACGACCGTCAGTACCACTATTATATAATAGTTATACATTCTTCGATGTGGCGCAAACGGGCTATTGGGGCATTAGGAAATTTACCTCGATCCAAAAAGCTAAAGAGATACAGCAGGACCAAGAAAGGCACGATATGACGGTCCACCTTTCTCACCAGGGCCTTTACTTTGACGGGATCAATCTCAACCGCCTCATTGCCAGATCCATCCTTTTTCGAGGTTGACGATGGCGGTCGGCTGATTGCTTTTTCGTCCATATCGAACGGCTTTGCGCCCCAAGTTTTCATTAGATACTGGGCAATCTGCAAGAGAGTTGACACAAAGGCGAAGATCAGATCATTGAGGGATGGCAGACGAGGGAGTGCGAGAATGATAAAAGGATTGGAGATACGGGGAGATGGCTGCTCATAAAAGCGAAGCTGCCCGGATGGAGCTCCCTCAGAGCAACCTTCGCCTGAGCTGCAAGACCGCCCTTGATCGACGACACATGTAGGCTGGGGAAAGCGGTGCACCACTCTTACGCTTACGATGATCCAAGTGAACGGGCGCTGGGCTTGGAATCTAATCTACGGAGGAGAGATGTATGTATGATGAAAGGTGGAGGTTTATCCGACGGGGTGGTCAACTACATGGGTGGATAACACTACACATTGGAGAACCATGGGAACCCCATTTTCTGTCTGTGCCCTCGGCTCTCGACAGCGAGCGAGGAAGCAAGGAGGAGGAGGGGGAGGAGGACTCAGCATCACCGATCCTCAGAGCATACATAGATTTCGCAGGGAATGGCTCCCACCAGTTCGTGAATTCGGAGCCGTCATCGTTTTCTATCTCCTGCGCACACATCGATTGTCTGTCAGCCTTGAGGTCGGCAGGAGTGGGGTAACTCTTCAAGATATCCCCAATTCTCGCGGGCTCCTTTCGGCTCCACTCGCAACGGGATATTTACTTGGCTGTTCAAGTTGCCCAAGTTGCCCGCGTTAGGGCTAGAGAGTGCGGGGAAGAAGAGCTAACTAAGGAGCTACTTTGCGAACAAAGGCGCTTCCGTGCCAGTTGAAGCATGTCAGAGCTCTTCTGTTCCGGAGCCACAGCCTTGCTGAGCCAGCTCATCGGGATATGAAGATGCAGGAGGTCGGCACACCAATGGGCTGTTGTTTGATGAGATTGACACAGAGCTCAATGTTTCGGCCCTAGCTCGAGACTTGATATCAAGTTGACACCGTCTTTTTTGTGCTTTTTTCTCTGATATTTTCCATGTTCGTAATACTAATGCACCCCGTTCATTTAGTATATCATTTCGGCAACGCTGGATACCTGGCACATTGGAGCTATGTGGCCTGGCGAACCCCGTTTCTGGCTGAAGCCACAACATGCCATTTGGGCTGCCGAGACCTGCCAGGCGAAGGGATCTGTTTAGCTTGTTCTAGCCTCCCGTCCTCCATCCTTCATCCTTGGCCTTCCTCCGCCTTTTCCCACTCTTGATCTCAAGTCTAGTTACCCACTTTTGTGAACCCTTTCCCAACTTCCTGGGTTGGAGCATCGATTTGCGGTTTCTTGGGAAGATAATTGCTCTTGGCTGTAAGAGAAAAGCCTGGAGGTTGTCATGAAAGGGATAATCGAGCGAATGTGGGTGCTGGATGACATGCTGATTTTACCTGTGATGGTTTCTAGTCTCAATTCGCTGGGCAGGGGACATTGAACATTGAACATTGGACATTGAACAGTTCAATTTACTACACGTTTCAATTCTATAAACGCACAAGTTGATTTCATACAAAATATCTTGGTTTTCCTTTAGCCAAATCCAAAATGGCACCGTGGACTCCCTGCATCTATCCATACTCCCCAATGAACCAATAATTGTCAGTACGACTTCGGCAGTCCAAGCACTCTCTCACCAATATAGCTGCAAATCATCTCGCGACTAACAGGGGCAATGCGCGGAATAAAAGCCTCCCTCAAATATCTCTCGACGTGATACTCCCTCGCGTATCCCATCCCGCCATGGCTCATCACTGCTCTATCACACGCCCTAAATACTGCTTCGGCAGCGAGGTATTTGGCCGCATTTGCGTATTCCCCTGAAGTGTAGCCCGCATCATACATCCTGGCCGCCTGATAGACCATCAACCGCGCAGCTTCCAGGTTCATCCACGAGTCAGCGAGTGGGTGTTGAATGCCCTAGTTTTGCCCATTCGGTCTCCCGAACCTGTCTCTCGTTTGCGTATTTTGCTGCGCGTCGCAGCGCCGCGTAGCCTAGCCCTAGAGCCTCCGCTGCAATCAAGATGCGCTCCGCATTCATGCCGTGGATTATCATTTTAAACCCGTTGTTCTCCTCGCCTATCATATCTGCTGCGGGGACCTTCCAATTTTCGAAGAAGAGGGTATTGCTGTCGACTGCCGCACGGCCATCTTAGGGATCTCGGACACGTCTACCTGCGACCGATCGAGGTCCGTGTAGAAGAGCGAGAGGCCCTGTGATGGTTTTGTAACTTTGTCCAATGGAATGGTCCGGACGAGGATTAAGATCTTTTTCTGCGTGCTGGGCCGCGGATATCCAGATCTTCGAGCCCTTGAGGATATAGTGTTCACCGTTTCGCATAGCCATTGACCGCAGTTTCAGCGTGTCAAGCCCCGTATTTGGCTCCGTAACGCCAAAGCAGGCGCGCTCCCGGCCTTGGACCAGCGGTATCAGGAACCGTCGCTTTTGTTCTGCATTGCCAAACTTCGCAACCGGTTCCAGGTCAAAAATATTAATATACACAGATGACGCGCCGGCCATGCCAGCCCCAGACTCGGATATGGTCTGCATCATTACCGCGGCTTCTGAAATGCCCAATTGAGACCCGCCATATTCTGTGGGCATGCAGATGCCCACAGAATCCATCTTTGGCCAGCGCAGCTTGGAAATCGAGGGGATAGCGCTTCGGTTCCTCAGCATTCAGCCAGTACTCATCAGAGAATTTCGAGCGTATTTTAGCTATCGATTCGCGGATTGTGCGTTGTGACTCGGTCCCAATCAGGGTCATTGGGTTGCAGGTACTCTGTTGCTCTGGCATGGAGTGATCTAAGGCCGACACGCGGCGATAAAAATGGATGTATGTATTTCGGGCGGCGCATACACCTCCCTGGGATCTAGCCAAATTAGTTAATGAGATATTAACGCAGGTAGGTAAAACGGGTTTCTGACCAGCTTGTGTCGGATGGCAGGGCGAAAAGCCATCGTGGGAGAAATGAGAAGACGTAAAGATGGAAGTGTCTATTTGACCCGAATGGCGGTGTTTACCACTCACACTACTTTATCCCTGTGAAGCAAATTTATCAACTTGCGCTCGGCTGCACACCTCATGTGCAATACCTTTTTCAATGCCGAGTCGGCATCGGCCCAGTTTGGCGTGGGATCGATGCTCGGCCGGGAGCCGAACGCGGGGCCGGCCCAATTAACAACTTAGAGAGGGCATTTACCCATACCCAAGCTCAAGATAGAGACATGGTCCAATCTATAGATTTCGATGCTACGGTTGGCGGCCGGTTCAAGGTCACAGGTAAATGTATTCCCACAAGGTTAATCGCCCGTCCCAAGCTTGATATTAATCTATCAAATGGCATATGAAATAGGGTTCCCTGTTAAATTTCGCAACACCGAAGCCTCAATTCGGAACAACCCCCCTCTTTCTAAGAGAGCATACAGATGATGTTCTTCGAGGACTTGGTTTTTCGAACGAAGAGTTGGCTGACCTGCGACGCGAGAAGGTGATATATAAAAAACAATGTAGTGATAAACTGCCCATGCCACATATCGTCCGCAACCATATTACATAGACTCGATGTTTTTTGTACTGCTAAATACAGCTCTAACATGAAACCACTTACTTCATAGAACCAAAAAAATCATCATTGATTCTGGTTTCAGCAAAGGCGCTTGGCAAACACCAAAGTATGTTAGGACGGTTGCCTCCAACAAAACCCCACGATTAAGACAAAGAGGCCGAAATCTTCTTGAAAGAAAGAAACAAACAATATGCATGCTGCTATTGTGTATGGCAGCGATTCATTTTGATGGCGTATATCAGCTGCAGTCTTCGCTTATAGTCGTCCATTTGCCCTTCTTTCAAAAATGGACAAGCAACGGCGGAGATAGAACAGAATACGAAATGTCAACACTCCTGAAATAGCTGTTCCTCACTGCAAAACAGATACGTATCTTGAGGGTAAAAGTATACAGTTTCCAATGACTTTGACCTGATGTGGTTCCATAAATTGGATTCGAAGGAAAGTAGAGCGCGCGGCTATCGTTATTGTTGTTCCAAAATTTTGCATGCCGTCCTCGAATATGCGCATCTGGCGTTAAGTGCCATCGATTCTATTCCAGCAAATATGAGATTCCAGGAGACGATATAATGTGTTCGACGTTTTCATGTCGAGAAATCAAGGAAAGGGGAAGTCACCTGATCTTCTCCGTCGTCTCCAGTCCTTTCCCTGAGATCGACGCCGCGCCGAGGATGGAAACAACAACAACAGCATCCACAATAGTAGAAATGGCGAATAAAGTACGCCCAGCCGACATCGCCACGGCAATGGCCGTTCCGTGCTGTGATCAAATCAGACTCCCCACATCGCATCCCGATCAATAGTGCAGGCAAACGCGCTTGAGTCAAAGCAGAATCCTATAGCCAGCTGCCTGTTTCTTATCAAGTAAATTGCTTTGAAATTGCTTCCTCTGTTCCCTGACTGTTCAGGAGAAACGCTCTGTACGACAAATCAAACCATACGTATCACAATGGCAGGCGATCCACACCCAGAAGAGGATTCGTCTCGGGCTATCAATGGCGAGGAGCTGGGGGATGTGGAAGCAAACCTGCAACCACCGCTTGGTATTCTAGATAGAAGGCAGTGGATCGTGCGCTATTTAGCTCAGGATGTCAATACAGAGCACGCGGACCTAATATTTCTGGTCTGTTATTTCCTGTCGGGTCTCAGTGACTGCGCTGCCTACAGAGCCTGGGGTTGCTTTGTTAGCATGCAGACCGGTGAGATATCTTAACGCCCCTTCCTATCCACATACATCTGTGAGTTCAAATATGGGGCAAAACTGCGTCATTACTGACATCACCACACCCACTAGGAAACACCATTTTTCTCGGATTGGGAGCATCCGACGCTCTTGACCAAACGACTTACCATTGGCTTAAGGCCCTCGTTTCTATTCTCTCTTTCCTCGCCGGGGGTGTAGCATTCTCCAAAACCCAACATTTTGGACCTCAAACTAGACGCACCATGCTCATTAATTTTGTTTCTCAAACACTCCTAGTCATCGTAGCAGCATCCCTACTGCAGTCGGGTCTAATCGAAGATTCTGGCGAGGTTACGGACCACCATGTTTTCCTAAAACTCATACCATTGTCCTTGGTTGCATTCCAAAGTGCTGGCCAAATGGCGGCAAGCCGACAGCTGGGGTTCTCTGAGATCCCGACAACCGTGCTGACAAGCCTCTATTACGACCTGGTTTCTGAGCCTGGGATCTTTAGGCCGTTTACCCGAAACAGAAAGGCTAACCAACGCCTTACTGCCATTGTTGGCGTCATCGGTGGTTCAGTTATTGGTGGCTCCCTTTCCAAAAGCACAGGGCGGGTTTCACCCTCCCTATGGATTGTTGCCGCGTCGAAGTTTACCATTTCAACCATTTGGTTTTTCTGGAGCGGGAATGGGGGTAAAACGGGCCCAAGTTTGACAGCCCCTGTATTATGAAGGATGGGAAAGCCTGGATTTAGATTGTCCTCTTCTCCTTTATTGCCCTATGACTTAATGGCCGCATTGAATGATTACGGCTTCGAGTTGACGTTTCCAAGGCCGGTTCAAGATGTCCGCCGTCAGCCATTCGATGGACCTTCGGAAAAGTTTGACATGTCCTAGTTGGTATAATTCCAACCCACCACCATTGCCCTGTAATGTATAATGCCGATCAGAAGAACCGATATCAACGCTCGACGCAGATTACACAGCCGAGCAAAGAACATCAATACCAAGAGCATCAGTAAGAGTAATTATCGACAGGCAGTGTATGGTCTGCCAGACCCCACGGCCCACCTAACTACAGTGACCCTTTGGGGAAGTCGTCAACCGTTTCAGCTCTGTTGTGAGTAATGAGGGAGGCACGGTGGGTGTTCAGCCGAACAGGTAAGAGCAGTTAAATGGGACACTATGCTCATCACGCCAGAGGCACTACGATATAGTTATACATTAATGAAGCGTGTCGACGGTGTCCGAAAATCCATGGAAAAAGAGATTCCATCGGGGAAAATATTAAGCGAAATAGATAAATATAAATATAAACAATAGCAGTGATCGATAATAAATGCATACCGAACAGTCAAGGCCTCTTCCTTCTCTTGTACAGTACCAATTTAGGGCATGTGGTGAATATTCAAGGGACTCTGACGAGAAACAAGGTCTGCTCCCCTGGAAAAAAGGGAATCGAACCCGTGCATGGTTGCCTGGCATAACCGATTTCACAATCCGTAGATATGAAAGATCCCGTCAATCTGCATATAAAAGGAACTGTCGAAGTCCTCAATGTAATTGCCGTACCGTTGTAGAGTTGGGTAAACGGGAGAATTAGAGAGAAGCTCCGTCGTCGTCCTTGTTGGAAAAAAGGCAATCCATCCGTTTATTCTCAGGTAGGTTCCTCTCTCAAGCAGAAGTAACAGCATTTCTGGTAGGAAGGACACTGTTGATGACATCCTTTGTTTTATTTATTTTATTTATTTATTTGCCCAGCAACCAAAGCCTGGGCTGAATTGATTCCATGATCAATGTAGCTTTTGAAGGCTTTCCACAGAATTTGCTGACAGCGACCATCAGCCATCGAAAAGGAGCGAAGAGCTGTTGAACTGCTAACCCCCCACGGGAAGAGACGTGCGAGCAGCAAATGAGTGACCGGCTGACCAGAATCCTACAGAAAAAGAGTTCGATTGAGCAAGCAGCGAGCGATGACGCAATTATCAAGCAATATAGAAAAACAACGGCGGGGAAGATCCTCACGCCAAGAGCGAAGAAGGGGATCCAAAGTTCTCAACCCACCATAGCCGATGAATGTATCGCCCCCTCAATCACTCAATCGATAGAAAGATGCAATGGCCAATTAGTCCCGGATGGATCCTGCATGTCCTCATCCCGGCCGGTAGCAGCCGGTGACGGCGTGCAGGATAATACTATCCTCTGGCTGGCTCTGCAACCGCCCTAAGATTCTAGCGGGAGCATGTTCAGCCGACCATGATGAACAGCACAGTGGACAGCTAGAGCCAGATCGCTTGAACCAAATCGCTGAATTCCCCCTTCTTGATTTCTCTCTTTTGGCTCTATTGGTTGTTGGCGTGGCCCCTCCATCGGGTACGTGCGATGTTATCACCGTATTCCCCTGCCCCGGGTTTAACCAGGGAGGGGGTAAGGAGGGAAAAAAAAAAAGCGCCCGCCAAGATTCCAACTCGTGAATTATCTTTCTCCACTGGCATGGACGTGGCCGGGTGTAGTTAGGCCATGCGCATCCGACGAAAACATAAAGGGCAATTGATACTCCATACTTGCAGAGCGCGCTTAGGTGCGCCTTTGCTCCATTGCGTGCTGCAAGCCGCAGCAGTTCCATCACAAACGCCGGCGCAAAGAGCAACGAACCGCAAACCTTGACTTCAAACTTGTCAAGTTGCCGGCAAATACAGAGGATGATCAGATCAGATTAGGGCTAGTTATGTACAGTAATAGCGGTTAGTGAGCGAAGGCATTTAGCGCCCACAAAACATGATCGAACATGAAAATCCAGATTCCAGGGAGGAAATCAGAGAGCAAGGGAACAGCAGAAAAAAAAAAGCAATTATTTGGCTCCCCAGAAATACGGGAGAAAGAAAAAAGAATGGCGCCAAAACGGCATCAGCAGCCTCCAAGAGAAAAAGCAAGCAAAGCAGCGAGATGCGGTCTGTGGATGAGCCACCTTTCATTTCTCTCTCTCGTTTGTCATGCTTGTTATTATTTCCTTTTCGTGTACTGGAAAATATTGGATTTGCATGGGTAACAGGGACATGGAGTCATCAAAGAACGATTACGAAAAGTGCCACCTACACACCAACACTTGGGTCTCGATTGCTTCCAAAGGAACCCCCATCAAAACGTCTGCTGAGTTGGCACAGACGCTATAAAGGCCTAATCCGTGCGTTAGAGCGTTAGTCGGCCAGGACGGGATTGGGTCCAAAACCCGCCGCCGAAGCTAAATCTTCCATACGCAGGGACTTGGTCAACTTCGGGGGATGATTCTTGGGAATAGTTCCCGCCATCTTTGTGTGTTTGCATTTTACATGCCTCTGACGGGTGGTGGAGGTGGTGGAGTTCATCCCTGCCCATTTCCCTTCCCTGTCTCAACCCACTGGGTCGTCCGCACGCGGGACAAACGAGCACAGCGGTCTTGCTCCAGCATCGCAGGCGACAGGAAGAGGAACAGCACACAGTGACATCTCTCGATATCCCTTCGTATGTCTACGCAGTTGCAGATGCTTCTTTACAGGATAAAATTTCATGCACGCTCGAAGGAGAGCATCTTCATCCTCCCCTTTCTTATTTCTTTTTCCTTTTCTTTCTGCTTTTAATTCTTGTTCTGCGCTGCGCAGATACCCAACATCTAGCGATCAACGACCAGGATTGGAGATCATAAAATACCTTATTTCAAATGTCCATACGGCGTATGGGATGGTATTAGGGTGTAACGGCGTATTTTAATGTTGTTGCACACCTTAACAGGAAAATCCCAGTCGACCTGTGGTTGCACTCTTTGAACAAAACACCCTTGTTTCTGCTTCATCGGCAACATGTTAGATCGATAGTCAACTATGTATGGCCCGTCATTCCTTGCTGGTGGCATTCAAGCATTTCGTTAACTAACGACAATAATATTATACTATTTCAACTGAAGTGCGTGTGTCGATTTGCGCCGTTGGGGGGCGAAAATCGATCGAAACGACATTGCGCTGTGGCAATATGGCCCGTGTCTGAGATTGGTCAAGCGAGGATTGAGAGTGACAAAAAAAACATGCGGTACATGGTTTACTAGTCAGTTATCCGCCGTACACTGTGGAGCGAGAGATGTTCTGATGGGTCCTTTTCGCTCTTCCCTTGATAACAATGCATTTTCTCTATGTATGTACAGTACCAATGACAATGCCATTTATCCCATATTCATTGTTTCTAACTCCTTGTCTCTCTCTCTCTCTCGCATGTCCACTAAGGAATGTTTACTCCACATAACCCCTCTCACCGTCTTTTGTCGAAAAGCCTCGACTTGTTCTCCGATGCCCCTCCGTCAAATGGTCATCATTTTGAAACTTGCGGTCTGCCCAACAGGTGATTGGGCGCGCCCCGCGGCTTCTGATTCTTCATGGTATAAAAAGGAAAATCAAAAAGAAATGAAATGAAAAAAAAAAAAAAAAAAAAAAAAAAAATGAAGGAAAAAAAAGAAAATCTTCATTCCGCCGCTGCTCTGCCGTATTGTATTTTATTGCTGCTGTTGATGTTGCAGCAGCAATTCACCGTCCTCTCTGAAGAAATGAATAGGCTTCGTTGGTGGGCTTGCGTTCACTCAGCCTTGTTGTTGATTCTAGCTCCCCCAAGCCTCCCCGCAGAATGAGTTGTACGCAGCGCTTGTTGCCCAATAAGGCTGCCATTGTTTCTTTTGTCAATCATGCTGGGCTGCAATGCTCTTTCATTCTCCGAAACGAGTTTCAGTTGGATATTGCGATACGGTAGCCGTATGTGTAATACATTTTCTATCACTTGTTTTTTTTTTTTTTCTTTTTTTTTTTTTTTCTTCTATTGTGGCCGTTTGAATATGTTGCTGCTGGGGCAACTCTTCTGCCTCATGTATTCCCTCTGATTGGGTATTATTGGACAGCGGAAGCCAGACATGGACCTCCAGGGCTCATACTGATTTAGAATCTTGGCCTGTTATATCTCTCTTCGGAGATTCTGCGTTCTTGGGCTCATGAAAGCTTGTGGAGTGGGTTTGTTCCCAGGACATATTACCCAAGGGGATGCCATGCACTATAAATAGTAATAAACAAATAGAACTTTGCCGAATCCAATCTCAACTTTCAGTGGGTATGAGGCAAGCTGAATAGAAATGGCAAAAAGAAAAAGGAACAAGGGAACTTCTTTTTTTTTATTTTAATACTCCTGAGTTTCCCGGCATACTTTGCGGCTTTTCGTAACGTTGGTAATGGATTCGTTCAGTGGAGATTAGCTTTAGAGCTGCTAGAGAGCTGTGACTTTAAGTGGAGTTACGAAGGTAGCCATCGAGAAAAGCTAGCTGGGATGGTTTGGAGTTGAGTGGCGAGTATCTCGAAGATGCCCAAGGGGGGGTGGTCGTGGGTTGGATGTTTCAATCACAACCACCCTTCTTGCCTTTCATCGTGAAGGCAACCTCTTTTCTGCAAGTCATGTTATACTCGAGCCAGATAGCGCCTGATATCTCTTGCCCAATCTCCAAGCTATGCGCCGACTTCCTAATCATCTGATCTCCTGAATCCTAGATCGCTCCATCGTTCCATCGCGATATAACTCGATATCCACGAAATTTATTCAATATTGCGTGGGTATTAATCATGACTCGTCTCATTCATTCGAGCGGTTTTGTGGAAATAACACAGGGGTCATTGGGAATCTATCCTATCTCATTCCGTCCATCAGATTTCCGTCGACTGGAGAGGCCATCTCAGCAATGCTTCATCGATGATGACCCCTTTTCTTCACCTGAATCCCCAATGACCCTCACAGGAGAAATTACCATTGGCGAAAGAGAAGATCCAATAATACTATAGAAAGAAGCATGTCCATATGGAACTTGCCGCCACCTTGTCGTGTCTGCTACATAATTCGCTTCCCGTATCGTCCTTTGTAGGGGGGACCGCAGTCATCGCAATCACAGTTTGGTCACAGTGACAGTGATAAATCACAGCAGACCCTATCCTACGTTGAAACCAGCTGAGTGAAGAAGGATCCTTAAGTCAACGGCTGTTAGGTTGCTGCCCATACACAGCAGTCTTCAAGACGAGGTGCCGGAGATAATATCTCATTATATCTCATACTCTGAGATCCCTCATGTAATCTGTGGAAAATCCAAGTTTAAAGTTAAAAATCTCCACCGAATCCACCACCAAAATCAGCACCTATTTAGAAGTTAAAAAAATATCAATCTATCAATATATAAATTAGTGACAGAACCCCTGTTCTAGATAGATAGACAATCAGAGCTCTAGTTAACTTATAAAACTAATTTATCACTGTCCTATCATGTAATAGAGATTGTGATGGAGGTGGAAGGTTGATTCATCGTAACTATCGAGCAGGTGCAGCACTGCTTAAAGGTTGGACGTCTAAGTGGGTTTGTATTGGGCTTATCCTCGCTGTGTGACACACTAGTCCGTACTAGGAAGCCTAGCACGTGGTCTTCTAGAAGGCGACCTCGGGACAGGTATGCCAACAGATTGAACCTTATTTGTTATATAGTTTATTGCGCCCGGCTTAATCTACGTTGTACTGAATAACTCATCTAATTGATTAGTTATGAATAGAATCGTTAGAAAACTATCTCCCATTATTATTATTATAATCGTTATCATTTGTATTCTTCTTCTCATTCAATCCTCTTATCAATAGCGGCTAACTTCAAGATATTAAAATCTTTGAATGATTAAGATGATTGATTTTAAGATATAAAGATTGAGGCAGTCAACTTTGTCTTGAAGATCATATCAATCTTGATATTGATGACAATCAACTTATTTACTATTTGAATTCAGATGTTTTTTGTAAAGGACGTACTACCGATCGACGGCTCTAGTACTATCCTTTTCACAGATGACGAATTGATGGAGAAGGAAAAGGAGACGTATCAGAAGATGGGGTTGTACGAAGGGTTTCTTATAAGAGAAGGATCGAAATCAAAGCAATATAGTGCTATATTTGATGTATTAACATCAAACTATTGAGATATTAGAAGATAATCAAAATAAAGCTGAAGCTTCTGCAACTGTGTAATGCCTCGGTTGGAAGCCCAGGCATCCTCTAACGGTTTACTATAGATATAGTATGGGCTCCAACAACAGCGGCAGCTGTTATTGTGTATGTCCATTTTTTTGATTGGACCATGCTTGATTTAATCATTACAGCTGCCGCCAGTAACATGAGGGTCATAAGTTCAATTTCTGGCAATATTGAATACCACTGTTCAGACTCTATTGATTAGAGGGGGTCCCAGAACCATGAGTATACGCATTTAGAGAGCTAATAATATCTATTATTTTAACAATCTTGAATATCAAGTGAACAGGCAGCTAGCTAGCTAGAGATCTTGATTGTAATAAAGTTTAAGTAAATATATTATTTGAAACTTTATAAAAACCCTTCAAACTACTTTGAAGTGCTAAGTACGCTGTACACTAACTATCCCCTTTGAAAAATCAGTCATTTAACGGTTGTGTCAATAGCCGGGTAAGCGGTGTAATTATCAATCCCTGAAATCGTCATGCTGAGGTTTGGTGGGCCTAACGTCCCTTGAGATGTTTAACTATATACAAGGTACCGGCTTCAATATCGCCTCCGTTCTTGCGTATGACCTTTTTAGTTCAGCATAATCAATTAACCAGTATTGTAATGGGGGATCCGGCGCGGGTAAATTTTTCACCGAGAATACCTTTCTGCAAATATCTACCTTACCAGTGTTGGATGGGTCTTTCTCTCTCAACGAGCGGACACCATGCGAACAACCAACGAACACACGATGCATTCATATACAAGATGGTTGTTTACACATGTGATTTCTTATGTCTTTGATTATATACATATAACACCTTGTTCTTTGTCTTTTTCTTTTATGCACTTCTTCTCTATGTTATCTGAGATAGATTGTTAGATATTGTACGAATTGATCTTGTGGTTTTTCTACAGAGTGATCAAGCTGCCCTGTTCTCGCGCCGCCAAAAGCGCGCAAACCCCAATTCCCATTTCAGTATAATTTGCCTTTTAAAGATGAAGATTATATTTAAAAGATCGTTTTGTAGACGAGACCGTGGTAATTAATTGAATGCCAAAGTTTGGTAATGTTATTGTAATAACTATTTAAAAATCAGGAGTACACAATGGTATATCTTCATCAGACCAATGTACACAAGGACCACAATGAAAGTTGAAACAATATTCTGAACTAGTGCAGGGAAGATCTTGACACAGAATGAATCTACTGTCTAATATCGAGTTAGGTGTAGATATATCTTGTGGAATATTATCA